AAGGCATACCAATTTTAGAGGGCACGATCCCCTTGATAATCACTGATCTTCCCTCTAATATCTGGAAACATGTCACTAAACCATCTCCTAAACCACTTTCATTCAACAGGCAAACAACTGGAAGAAACTGCTGATGCCTCTCATTTCAACAAGCTCTTTATTATTATTTATTTAATAATATATTTGTTTATATTATTTTACATATATAAATATATATTATATTTTAAGTATTATATATAATATATAATATATATTATATATTTATATATTATATAAAATATATTTTATATAATATATATAAATATAGATATTGGAATACTTCAGTGGCATCAGTGTGCAAATTAAATAATAATAATAATTTTTATTATTATTAAATAATATAAACAAATATATAAATACTACATATTTATATATATTTTTATATATTATATATTTTTATTTTTATATTTATATATCTATATAAATATATTTATATACTCAAGAAGTATTCCAATTTTTCTGCTCCCATTTCAGAAACTTGACAATTCATTGTCATGTTCCAAATAGTGAAAAAATATGTCTTTGTCAAGGAAAGCTTTGTGCAGACAGAGTGTTTGGTTCTCTGGGCGCGGTAACATACCTGGTTGAGCGACTTTGCTGAAGGTGCTCCATTCGTCGTCATGACTCATTGCCCTCAGCATCAACAGGAATTGATTCATGCCAGCAATTCTCAAAGGTGTCTTGTTTACTGCTGTGAAAGTCATCAGCTCTATCACAGCCTGGTCCTGACCTCAGCCTTTTCAAGAAATTTTAACTAGAAAAGAGATCGAAGTAGGAAGCTCTTCTCTATTACACTTAGTCCACTAACTTTACAAAGAATACATCTTCAAGTAAGTGATTGAACTTCATGCTTAAGTTGTATGTGTGCTCTAAGGAGAGAGAGGCAGAGACAGAGACAGAGCGAGAGAGAGAGAGAGAGAGAGAACAGTTCTCAGAACAATGTAATTAAGAGGAGTTCCTTCCTGGTTTTGTTATATCATAGATATTTCTGACCAGGAGACTAAAGCAAATCTTTTGATTTAAGGCTCTACAGAGGGTGTTACAGATACTGCTAAAAGGAACCCACCAATTCATAGCTGAGCACCATTTCAGGAAGTGAAGATAGAATGCAGGCAATACTGTAAGCTTTCTAGTGAGGAGAAGGGCTTTCTACGATCTGAAGCCCCACTGAGAAATTCTTTTTTTTTTTTTTTTTTAAGATTTTATCTATTTGACATATAGAGAGAGACAGCGAGAGAGGGAACACAAGCAGGTGGAGTGGGAGAGGGACAAGCAGGACTCCCGCCAAGCGGGGAGACCAATGTGGGGTTTGATCCCAGGACCCTGGGATCATGACCTGAATTGAAGGCAGACGCTTAACAACTGAGCCACACAGGCACCCCCCACTGAGAAAGTCTTATTAATTTCCCTACAAACAGAAATTTTCAATATCCCCAAACACCATAGAATTCTTTTACAAGTTGCTTCTGTTCCAATGACTTTAAAATTAAAACACAAACTAATCCTTTTGGGCCCTCCCCGCCCCAGAAAGCTTCAACAATATACCTAACCAAAGATAGTTTCATTAATTTATAGTGGTGGTGATGAAGCAGGAATTCAACTTAATCTTGGTGTATGATTTTGACCTGTAGGAGCCAATGTTTTCAGTGTTTATTACCACTAAAAAAGAAGTGAAATGGATGACATAAATGACATAACTTTTTTTTTTACATAACCCAACTTCTTATTCAAATCAAAAGCATCCTTTCACTGGAATTTACTACTGAGTATAGTTAAGGTTGCCTTTGATTTTATTGGCACTCAAATTAATGAAGACAATATTTTGCATAATAACACTAATAGCAGTAAGTCCTTGCTTACTACACTCTAGGGACTGCGCTGTCACTTCGTGTGTAACACCTAACAATTCTCAGCAGTCCTATCAGGGGAGCACTAATATTCCTTTGACAGATCAGCAAACTGAGGCATAGAGACAGTAAGTAATTTGTCCAGTGTAACAGCTCATACATGATAAAGCCAAGTCCTTCAGCACATAGCTGTCTGATTCCTGAGCCCATCCTATATTAGATGTCAAAGGCATTTATTTTCAATGCTATAAAGCAAACTAAATGCAAACATACTAGTTTCTGTGCATTTTTCCGTGAAAGATTTGTTTCGGTTTCATCAAAATTTTAGGGTTTCATAATCAGCGATTCTTAGGACTAAGAACAACTGCCTTAAACAAACCACAGCACTTGGGAAACCTGAGCAGCCCCTTCCCTCTCTCTCTTTGCGTCCTAGTGTCTGGTCTACCGCAGGCGCTCTGTGTATAAAAACTTCTCAAAAGGCATGCAGGCAGGCTGGCTGTCCTAAGGTTGCCCTGGAAGCAGACTGTTCACCAGGGCTTACTGGGGCGGTGGGCACAGTTCTGGTTGGAGAAGTAGTCCTGGGTGTATGTACCATAGTCAGCCTTTGATCCTCAGCGTCACCGATTCAGAACTCTGATTTTATCAACAATTAGAGAGTGTATTAATTTTCAACAGCACATTCACATTAATGTAGCCCACTTGCCTGATGTCTAAGCGCCAAATAACTCATTGATTTATGATGAAAAATATGAAGGTCAGAAACACAAGAATGTTAAAGTCATCACTTAGAGTGTGTAATCTCCAAGAAGGCAGACCTACAGGGGAGTGAAAACATAACTGGAAGTTTACTTGGTGAATATGGAAAACGAACAATAGAGGTTAATTCGAGGAATCCAGTGTTTATTGCCCTCTGGTAAGAGAGCCAGAGCATTCATCCCCACAAACAAGGAGAGTCTTGCCAAACCTAAAAGAACAGAATGGCTCTCCCCAGGACCTTTGCATTCCATCTCTTGTTTGCTAAGGAAGCTGCTAACTTGGCTAATGATGGACACATTCTTTCTTTGTATATGCTAATTATTTTAATCTGGTTATGGTCATATTTTATTGGTCAGACCTCTTTCAGGTGAATTTGAATATTTCCACAAAATCCATCTATTGAGTTTTTAAAAATTATTTTAAAAAATATTTTTAAAGATTTTATTTATTTATTAGATAGAGAGCATGCACCAGAGGGGGGGGACAGCAGAGAAGGGAGAAAGAATCTGAAGCAGACTCCAAACTGGTCTTGGAACCCTATGTGGGGCTCAATCCCATGACCACAACATCGTGACCTGAGCTGAAACCAAGAGACCGTGGCTTAACAGACTGAGACTCCCGGGCGCCCCATTTATTGAAGTTGAATTCTCCCTGGACAATGTTATTGGTGGGCATTCTACTATAACTTCAGTGTGCTGATGACTAACATTTTCTAAAGCCCCTAAGTAAAAGTCTGTGGTCCGTTGATCTTCCAAGAGAAATTGCTCCTTAGGGGCGCCTGGGTGGCTCAGTGGGTTGAGCCGCTGCCTTCGGCTCAGGTCATGATCTCAGGGTCCTGGGATCGAGTCCCACATCGGGCTCTCTGCTCAGCAAGAAGCCTGCTTCCCTCTCTCTCTCTCTGCCTGCCTCTCTGTCTACTTGTGATCTCTGTCTGTCAAATAAATAAATAAAATCTTAAAAAAAAAAAAAAAAGAAATTGCTCCTCATTTTAAAGTTAATGTATAAGCTACATGAAGAGAAGGATTGTGGGTCATTCATAAACACTTTGGGGGTGTACCTACTGTGCATCAGGCTTGTTCCATGCAAGTTACTGTTTAGACAATGGAGAACGAGGATGGATGACAGCTCCTGCCTTCAAGGCACTTGCAGGTGGGTAAAGACTTACGTAACAAAAACAGATACTACAGAAGAATGTCTGTATAAAAAGACTTGGAAAGTGCATTCCAACAGACGGACCCACAGAAGCTCAAATACAGAATTGTAAAGTGTGCACAAGAAATGGGGAAGGTGGGGCCCTTGGAAGGCTGGGAGGGGCGACACAGGTGAGCTGGAGGAAATGGAGGCACAGGGATGACAGGGCTTGAGCTCTTTAGGGCCAAAGGCACAGGAGACATTTCCTCCCTCTCCCACGCTCCTTCCCTCATCCCCAGAACATTCGTTTTTCTATGTTTGCCTCTTGGGCCTCTAGTTATTAATTCTCTGTTTCTTTCAGAAGCTTCTGTTTTGGGGTGTCTGGGTGGCTCAGTGGGTTAAGCCTCTGCCTTCAGCTCAGGTCATGATCTCAGGGTCCTGGAATCGAGCCCCGCATAGGGCTCTCTGCTCAGCGGGGAGCCTGCTTCCCCCTTTCTCTCTGCTGGCTGTTCTGTCTACTTGTGATCTCTCTCTCTGTCAAATAAATAAATAAAATCTTTTTTTTAAAAAGCCACTGGAAAAAAAAAGAAGCTTCTGTTTTCTCAGGTTCATTTTTTAAATAAATAATTTTTTTAAAACTGGGGACCGTGACTGGTTCAGTCAGTACAGCATGCAACTCTGGATCTCAGCGTCATGGGTTTGAGTCCCATGTTTGGCATAGAGATTACTCTAAATAAATAAATAAACAAATAAATACATGCATAAATAAAATTTTTAAAATTTGGTTTTTGGTTACATAATACCTGTTTGTGGAATGATGTTCAAGAGCTATAAGGGTAAAGTGCAAAAAACCTAGTTTCCCTCCCACCTGGGCCAGCTGCCCAGCTCTGCTCTCCTGATCCTAGGGACAACCACTGGCACTGGCTTCCTGTATTTCCTTCTGTAAAGTCTCTGGATAGGCAAGCATTTATGTGTGTGTATAAGTGCACGGCTATGTGTGTATATAGTTGTGTAAGTATATAATTTTTTACACCAAGAGTAGAATACTACTGCATTTTGCTTTCTCCACTTTAAAATGGATTTTAGAGATTTTTTCCATATCTGTCCATTCTTTTATGCATTCAGTTGACAAGTACTTATGCAGCATCTACCATGTGCCAGGCACTCTTAGATGGTAAAGATAGAGCAGTGGACAAAATCTCTGCCTTCGTGGAACTCCTCTTCTAGGAGAGGGTTACAGGAAAGACAAACACACACCAAAGAAGCAACGAAGTACGTACAGGATACCAGATGGAGAGGAGAGCTAAAGCAGAGTGCTGGGAGGGTAGATGCTGGAGAATGGCTGCAGCCAATCTAAAGGAGGGAAAAAGAGAGGCTGAGAGAGAGAGAAAGGCCTAGTTCTTTCTAGTCCCATGGCATTCTGTCAGATGAATATACCATAATTTGTTTAATCAGTTGCCTACTGACATTTACCTTGCTTCTCACACTTTGCTGTTACAGTAACGCAAATCTTGCCTATAGGTCATTTGACACATCTAAGAGTATATTTGTAAATTAAATTCCTAGACGTGGTATTGCCCTTTTAAGGGTCTGTGCTTTTTTAATTTAATTTTTATTTTTAATTTTAACAGATATTGCTAAATTATTTTCTGCCGAGTACCAACTTACAGTTCTTTCAGTAATGAATGGGAGGACCCCCCAGCTACAGCAACACTGTGTTGTCAAGATTTGTGATGTTTGCTTATCTGATGAGTAAGCTATGAAATCTTGTTATAAGTCTAATTTGCATTTTACTCTTTATGATTGAAGTAAAATGTCTAAAGCCCCCCCTCCTTTTTAAAAGACTTTATTTATTTATTTGACAGAGAGAGATCACAAGTAGGCAGAGAGGCAGGCAGAGAGAGGGGGGAAGCAGGCTCCCTGCTGAGGGGCTCGAACCCAGGATCCTGAGATCATGACCTGAGCCGAAGGCAGAGGCTTAACCCACTGAGCCACCCAGGTGCCCCTCTAAAGGCCCTTTTTATTCCTTGTAAACTGTTCATGTCCTTTGCCAAATTTTCTACTGTATGTGTGAGGAGTGGGGCCGGGCGTGGTTGCTTCGTTTTGTTTTATTTCTGATTCATAGAAAGTCTTCTCAGTAAAGAGTTAACAGCTTTCTTGGGATGTAGGTAGCAAAAATTTTACCTAATTTGTCAGTTCTCTTTTGATTGTGTTTATAATAAATGGTTTTCATAATACAGAAAATTTTTACTATTATATAACCCAGTTAAATAATCTTTTAAATTACTTTTTAAAGATTTTATTTACTTATTTGAGAGAGAGAGAGGGAGAGAGAGAGAGAACATGAGAGGGGGAAGGTCAGAGGGAGAAGCAAACTCGCTGCTGACCAGGGAGCCCGATGCGGGATTCGAAGTGGGACTCAATCCTGGGACTCCAGGATCATGACCTGAGCAAAGGCAGTCACATAACCAATTGAGCCACCCAGGCACCCAGAAATTATTATTATTTTTTTAATTACTGTTTTTCTTCTAGTACTTCAACATTATTTTTAAAAGATTTTATTTATTTGAGAGAGTGAGAGAGAGAGAAAGAGATGAGGGGGTAGATCCCAGGACCCCCAGATCATAATCTGAGGTGAAGGCAAACATTTAACCAACTGAGCCACCTAGGTGCCCCAACTGTGTGTTTTTTAACATTTAAATATTTGATTCATTTAGAATTCATTCTATGGAAGGTGTGAGGCATGGGTCTAATTTTCCCCCCCACAACAGGTTACCTGATTGTCCCAAACCCATTGATAAAATACTTCCTCTTTTCTCCACGACTTTTTTTTTTTAAGATTTTATTTTTTTAAGTAATCTCTATACCTAACATGGGGTTCGAACTTACAATCCAGAGATCAAAAGTCATGTGTTCTACCAACAGAGCCAGCCAGGCATCCCTCCATGACTTTTAAATTCCACTTTTTCACATGATAAATTCCACTAAGAATTTGGGTCCAATTTGGGTTTTCTAGACAAATCTGTTGATTCAACTTTTCATTTAATCAACAATTGTATATTATATGTGCCAAGTACTGTTCTACATGCATTAGTAATATTTTAAATGTTACAGCTTGTAAAATATAGTGTACTATCTGATAGAAGAGTACATCTTATTTTTCCTATTCTTCTTGACTTTCCCAGGCTCTTTTTATTTGCTTATTTTCCATTTGAACTCTAGGATCAGTTTGTCTAGTTCCAAAATAAATCATCTCAGTGTTTTTATTGGGATTACACTGAATTTACAGATTAATTTAGGGAGAGTTGACATCTCTCTCATGCTAAAATTTTCTGACAAGAGTATAGGACGTCCTATACATCTTTTATACACCAAAGTACATCTTTTTTTGCGTGTGTCCCTCAGTAGTCTTTTAGTTTTCTTCATATAAATTGTTCACATTCTCTGTAAATCTTACCTTTTTCCAGTTTTTTCCTTCATATTGGCTCCATGAATGTTCTTGCGGATTTTGAATTCTCTTACTGTTTCTAACAGTTTTTCATTAAATTCTCTTGCACTTTCTGGTTTAAAAAAAAATCATACCATCAGCAAATAATGATGATTTTACTTCACTTTTTCTAATTTTTATTTTTATTCATTTCTGTTATCTAATTATATTGGCTAAATAGTAGCAGTGATAAAGAAGACCCTTAACTTATTCCTGATATGAATGGGAATGCTACCCCAACAGAAGCTTCTTTGTCAAAGCTAGAAGCAGAAGGTTCCACTCAGAAGTTTTTAATCATCAGAATTTGGGGTGTTCACCAGAGATCAAACTTTTGGAAAACGAAGAGGCTCATGTATAGGTTCTTTCTAGTGATAGAGATTTATTATAAAGATATTTGGGAAAACAAAGGATAGAGGAAACCATGGCAACGTGGTTGCTAATTACTTATTGTTTCATTCTTTTCTTGCTAACCTAACACTATGCTACCATTTTTACACATATGAGGTTGTTTGAAATTAATCTCCTCAAGGGTTACAGGCAATATGCAGAAGCAAAATGCCTGAAAAGGAAAGTTAAATGATAGAAGTTTCCATGTCTTGCTCTGAAATTGCTCATTCTTTTATTTTTTTAAAACTTATTTATTTATTTGAGAGAGAGGGAAAGTGTGTGACCGCCCATGCACATGTGCGCAAAGGGGAAGGGGGAAAGGGAGAGAGGGAATCTTAAGCAGACTCCCTGTGGAGTGAGGAGATCAATGTAGGGCTTGATCTCATGATCTTCAGATCATGACCTGAGCCAAAAATCAAGAGTTGGGTACTTATCGACCTGATCCAGGCACCCCTGAAATTGTTCGTTCTTTAATGGATGTACCAGAGGAGAATAAAATTGCCAAACAAAAAGAGTAGGAAGGGGGTATGAGATCCAAATAACCCAATAACATGCTAACTCATCAACCTCTAATTAGCCAAAACTTGGCCTTAATTTAGACCTTTTTTCTCTCAAATGTAAAAAAAAAAAAAAAATTGGCTCCTGCTTGTCTAATCTATCAATACTCAAGTTTTCCTGTTTCAAAAAATTGCCTTGATATTGTTCAAAGGCTTTCGTTTACCTCCACAATGCCTTAAATATAAGAGATGTTTAAAAAGATCAGTTGAGGGATGCCTGGGTGGCTCAGTCTGTTAAGCATCTGCCTTCAGCTTCGGTCATAATCCCAGGGTCCTGGGATGGAATCTGCATCGGGTTCCCGGCTCAGTGGGGGAGTCTGCTTCCCTCTCTGCTTGCCTTTCCCTGTGCTTGTGTTCTCTCTCTGACAAATAAATAAATAAAATAAAATAAAAGATAAGTTGAATGAGTGAATGTTAGGTAATTAGCATATCCTGTATGGTTTTAAACTAGTGATCTGTCTCAATGTCTGTTAAACAAGGAAAGACTTCAGTTAGTCTGACATAGGCAACAGCTTTTTAGAAGATGGTGAAGGTAGGTAGTTTGAAAATGTCATATTGCTATAAAAATATATTGATGGATTGCTAACAATTGGATTTGTACTGAAACTTTATCAATCATTATGGTTAAAATTTACTCTATCTTTTGTTATTTTATGTTTTTCTTTAAAACACCACAAAAAGCCAGTGTAACTCTGTAAATCAGATATTCATTAATAGCACGCATGTTAAGATAAGGACATTTCCAAAACTCCTAATTGCTGTCTTTTTAGAGCTTTTAGACCCTGATTTTTTTTTTTTCAAGTTGCAACGTAGGAGTGAGAGTTGAGTAACTTATATATTACTCTATATGTGGTAAGCTGAAAAACTAGGAAAATTTTAGCAGTCTGGAAAAAAAAGGTTTCTCAAAACAGCCTCTTTGTTTTAAGTCTGTAGATGTTATTTGGAAGATAACATCTGTTTGGTTTGGTTGTCACAATACAGTATCACTTTCCTCCATGGGTTCTTACCTCAAGCTCCTGGCCATCCTGTGGGTCAGCAGCTTCCAAGCACTGTGACCACAATCTACAGTAATAAGTGTGTTACATTGAAGTCTGATGCATATTGTGCATATACCCATAGAGTTTCTTAAGACAACACTTAAGCCATCTGCATGTTTTATAGTCTGATCTTCTCTGTTCTGAACCTAGCCTATCCTATCCCATTCTGCTCTATTCATTAAAAAATTTGCTTGTCGTGACTTGCCAAATTGATTTCATAACTCTGCAGTTTGAAAAACAATGCTATAAATCAGTGCTTCTCGAATCTCGATGCTCACCAAATCACCTAGAGATCTTGTTAAAAATGCAGATTCTGATTCAATAGGCTCTAAGAACGAGCACTTTCAAGAAATTCACAGGTGCTGCTGCTGCTGGTCTGCCACACTTTGGAGAAGTAAGCCTATAGATATTTGTCTGCCCACCCCCATCTCTGGTTTAATTGGCCGTGATGGGCATGGAGAGCAGCATAGACTCTTGTTAGTGACATTCCGTTCCAACATTGAGGTACATAGCATGTGTCTCCTGAACACTGATTTATTTTATACTTACTGTGGGCCAGGCCCAATTCTCAGACAAGCTAAAGTCCTTCTTTTTGTATTTCATGTTTAATGTGTAATTACAAATTGTGGTAAGTGCAAGGAAGAGAAATGAAGCCAGCTGAAGAAAAGATAATGGCAGTGTGGGGGCACCGACTGTTTTAGATTGGGGGTATAGACAATGCCTACATGGGTCAGTGACACTTGACAGAGACTGAAGGAAGGGAGATGGCCAGGGGAAGAACTAGAGGAAGGATGGTTGAGTCACGACAGACGAGGACACAGGTTCTGAGAGGGGAAGAAA